GGTGCAGCAGCAGTGTTGGTGCAGCAGCAGTGTTGGTGCAGCAGCAGTGTTGGTGCAGCAGCAGTGTTGGTGCAGCAGCAGCCCACTTTCATTATGAAACTAAAACAATTCTATTTTTAGGACCTCAGACTGTGGCGCAGGAACAGAGGAGGTAACGACACCTACAGAACTCTGTTAAACGGATCAGAACCTTTGGAGACCTTCCTCTCTGTGAGGACCTAGAGGGTCTGTAGAWCAGAATCAAACTGATCTGGACTTTATCAGGTTCTGAAATTATCCGAATCTGAGCTCAACCGGACAGAACCTGAACTGAGCTGGAGCTCACTGCACGGTCTGACCTTCCGGGTGAAGGTGTCCCTCTCACCTTTAGCCTCAGCGCGTCGCTCTCGTCCTTGCAGGCGTTCAGCTGCTTCTTCCAGCTCTCCACGTTAGCCGAAGACTCCTGCAGCGCGTCCACCAGCCGGGCGTTGTTCTCTCGTAACGTCTGAAGCTCCGTTTCCCACTTCTTGGTGTTGGTGTTGCTGCCAGACACAAACACACAGGCAGGAAGGAGGAGTGTGAACATGACTGACGAGGCTGCGAGCACAACTCTGGACACATTTAGCTTCCTCAGGCTGCCGGGGGACGTTCAGACGAGACAAAAACACCTGAAGTGGGAAGATTTAAAGCTCCTGAACGGTTCACAGCTGAGACAGACACCAGAGAAGACAAGATRAACCAGCTGGGTCCAAATACAGGGGCTGGGTCCTTCAAAGGACTCRACCCGGCCAGGTCCTTGGTAGACCACCACTTTTAGTTTTTATACCACCAGATTTTTATTTAAACTGTACTCCTTTCTCTCGCTTTGTTCACCGTTCCGAGCAGAAAAATAAAGTCTGCAGTCGGCCCACAATACATTATGCAGAGCTCGAAACTAAGTCTTCGCACCGGCGCACCTAACAGTTTTCCTCAGGTGCACCAGTACTAAAGTTAGGTGCACCCAAGTTTGCAAATACGTCACATTTAACATTGTTTTAATGGTTCACTTTTTAAAATCATTGTCCATTAAAGCAATATTAACTCGCAAATAATTTGTTAACAATCTAACAAAAATAAAGTTCTGTATTTGAACCAGAATCATAGACATATAACTGACTGAAAAGTATTTAAAGTGATTCTATGACCGAAATTTTTACTTAAACATCAAGATAAATCAAATGAAAGAAAATCTAAATTCTAAATGTAAATGTTTAAGGGTTGGACATTTTATAAACATGGTTTTGTCTTAGACTACACCTGCCCCTCAGATGGACAACTCCTGTAG